GTTGATGGTTTTTTTAAAGCAGCTTCTCGGAAATTACTTGAATATTCTGAAAACACTGTTGAATGGATGACTATCGATATGCTTTACACGAACAACAACTCAGCATCAAGATCCGCATCGAATATTCAATGAGATCAAATTGAAGGTGAAGAGAAACGTTTCCTAACGAATGAATCACGTGATGATCCGCGTGTTCAAGAGATAATCCACTTACTCATTCAATGGCTCAACGATGAATTGTCAGCTCAACGAATTGTCATTAAACACATTCAAGAAGATCTTTACGATGGACAAATCATTCAGAAACTCATCGAAAAATTGGCAAATATCAAAGTAATCCCCTCTTGAATGATATTCTTTTCGTAGAACGGAAATTCATCCCTTTCCTCATGATTACCAATTCACCATCTAAGTTGATGGTTGAAAAAAAAGATATTAATCGGGCAAAACTTCGTTGAGCTTCGGGATTCATAGCATTTGGCTGATAGGCCTCATAGAACTTATATAAGTTTGCTTCTCAGCATTTGTTTCATACCATTTCATGTGAAATCAATTCATAGCACTTACAAATTCACTCTTCTGCGATTGATTCAACATTTTTTAGTTACACTTTTTTGATGAGATTACTTTCGTCCACTCAGATTTAGTTTGCTTTCAAAAAGAATGTCATATTCAATGAAATGATCACTTCACGAGTATTAATCGACATGTAAAACAGCACTTCTCAAGATAATTGATATTCATAGATCGAAGTACCGGAAGTGTCACAGAGCGAAGAAGGTCAACGGCAAAAATTACATATCGTTATTGAGACTGTGAATCGCATCATTGCACAGGGACAATATGAACAAACCAGATGGAATGCCGATAATATTCATAATAAGGTTGCTATTGGGTTGTACTTTTAATGTAGCTGTTTGCGACCACATTGTCCGGTGATATCACATACAAACAATTGAAATCTTGTCTTCTAACTTACAGTTAGATAACTTGTGGTATGCACTTATATCGGTCAAAATGAATTATATAAGGATTTTATCTCTTCATTTTCACACTAATACCAATATTCGGTGTTATATTCACGATCATCAGCGTTATCACCGTTTTTGCCGAATCATTTCTGTCAATGTGATCGTTCGTTTTTCTGGAGACTAATTTGTCATTTTTTCAAACTTTATAGTTTGCGATTTCGATGAGGTTTACTGACAATGAGTGAAACGTTTGAAGAGTGATATTTATAAATGAATGAATGAATGATTGGTAATTGTATTGAATGAAGTTCAGGATGTTGTTGCGATCATCCAATTACTGATCGCGATCGCCATTCACTTTCGAGCACCTGTGCGATTTCCAGAGTTCGTGAACGCACAAGTGCTTGTGGTTCAGAAGAAAGATAACTACCTGCATAAGAACATTGTCACCGAGCCACTGACCACAACCCAAGTGGAACTTGGCGTTAAAGTGAGATCACTTATCTCAAATGATTACCATCGTTACTGTTGTTATTCATGTGCTTACACGGGTGTTGCTATTGTTATTACAGTTAGCATTGCCTTTTTGAGCAATATTATCACGCTGAACAGTTGCAAATGTTCAGCTTGACATTGGTTCTAAAGATTATTTGCCAGTGACCATTCGAGAAGTCACTGAATTCAACATTTGTTGGTGAACGAAGAAATTTAGTTGTTTCTTGAACTGCTTTCATGGTCAACCAAAAATTTTTCTCATTTCAAATGCACCCACTCAAAACTTCACATTCCTATCAGCCATACTTATCATTGTCTGAGTCATCAACTCGACTCGATCAAATTCATTTGTTACTGTCAGAGATTTTACTACTACTGATGATTTTTTGATTATGTATTCCACCTGTCCCAACAAATCACTGACTTGATGGTTTTGTCAAAAACGAACGCATTCTGATATTCAAGTTTGCCGTTTCGATAGAAATCCATTTTGGCTTCATGTAAAAATTTTGTTGAACTTCAAGCGATAGTTAACAATAGATGATTTCAAATTTGTTATATTAGCATGAACAAATAATGATAATGAATCGAAGCTGAACAAGGAATGATTGCCTTGTGAATGTTTCGATATAATTGTGCATTAACTGAAGGGAGAACGTGACGCGTTTGATACACTGTTCGATTATGGTCCAGATAAGCTGGCACACGTCAAAAGTTCACTGTTAGCGTTTTGCAACAAACATCTGAACAAGATCAATCTTGAAGTAAGTGACCTTGAGACACAATTCCAAGACGGTGTTCATTTGGTGCTGTTGATGGGCTTACTCGAAGGCTACTTCGTACCACTCTACAGTTTTCATTTACAGGTCAGTGAGCGACACTTCACTTATCTCAAACTATCTATCTATTTTATTAACATTCGATTTATAATACTTATTACTGATATTGACACTATTGTTGAATCTCCTTTCAATTGGAAAATTTTCAGTACAGTCATTTAACGATAATAA